CTGCACAGAGACGTCCCGCTCGCAGGACCCACTGCTCGGCAGGAAAATTTACAATCCTTTAATTCCATTTACAACGCGGCAACACAAAAGGGAGCTGCAGACAGAGGCTGCGAGCGGGGAGAGCGATGGGGAAGAATGAAATAAACAGGGCTACAGGGGAGCGGGATCATCAAATTCCAGCCGGGATTAAGGGAGAACGCGCCTGTTGGGCACCAACGTGAGCCTGGAGTTGTATTGAGTTGTAGAGGTTCCATCTTGGCTCTGCTCCTGGCTGAGCACGTTGCACATCTCGGAGCAGCTCCCCGTAATTTGCTTATAAATAATTGACTTCTCGGTGATGGAAGCCTCTGGAGGGTCTCCCGGTTTATTCACAACAAGGCACCTCGGCCTGCCGTGCAAATTAGCCCTTTCAAACCTGTCTCTTCTCCAACAGAAACGTTATGAAGAGTGATTTTTTTTATCCCCCGTAATAACCTTCAACTAACCTTTAAACTGAAGTGAATAATTTAAATCTTATTTTCATATCAATGGGGGAGTCAAGCCAAGCAATTATCTTTTATCTGTATACTCTGTCGTCAGCGCGAGGCATAATAAAGTTTTCCCAAGTGGGCAGAGCGAAACGAGGAGAGAAAGAGAGAAAGAGAGAGAGATGCTATCTGACGGCATTAAGGCAGAGATGAATTATTCAGCAACGAGCGCAGGAGCTGCAGGACAGCCCGGCTGCATCAGCGGGCAGCGGGGACGGCCTTACCCACAGAGTGCTGGGGGGAACAGGAGAGGGAAAGGGGGCATCCAGCAGCGGGGAGCGGGCTGACATTCCCCTCTGGGCTCATTAGGATGCTGAGTCCCACCCGAGTCCCACCGGACCGCCTGCAATCTTCTGTATTAACGCCTAAAATCCCGCGCCTGCGATGATGGAGGGTGCTGACAGTGGGGTTGGTGACCCTGGCGGGGGTTGCAGCCTGTGGGTGCTGCCTCCCCCCCGTCCCTGTGCTGCACACGTGTGTGTGCCCAGCCACAGACTGCAGCTCCGTGCTGCTGGATGTCACTCAGTGCTCAGGGACAGCATCCTGCAGAGATGGGGCGGCTGCTTCCCACGGCACCGCTGTGACTGCACCACAGAGCCAACGAGGGCGGGGGGTTCTGCTCTGTGGTTTTGCAGTGTGAGCAGAGGTTGAGGGTTCACCGATCCTCCAGGAAAATCCCAGCAGGTCGGAGCTGCCTGCTCGTTGTTGCCAATGGGTGAAGGCCTGGAGCGAAGCAGGGCGGTCCCACGGAACGCTGCAGCCCATGGAGAGGTGCTGCCACTGAGCGCGGGATGTCTCCCTGTAATCTTTCCACTTAAACCAGTGATTAAACTGATCTGGCAGATGATTAAGCAAACAAAGATTAATGAAACAAGCAAAGGAATCAAATCTTGATGGGGGAATAAATGCGTGATTCAAAACAATATTAGGACAAATTGTCTAAAACCGATAGGGAACGCGTTGCTTTTGTCTCAACAGCATTTGTTGTACTCTCACTTCGTCGCAGTCAAAATATTTGCTCAAACCAAAAATGGAGATGAAAAATCTCAAATGCTACCAATGCTTCCCATGATTTACCAAAAAAGATCTGCAGGATGCCCCATCCTGGAATGCCAGCATCAAATGCAGCACCCAATGGTGGTACCCAATGGCATCACCCAACCGCGGCACAGCGCATGAGCGCAAGGATTTGCATTTCTGTCTGAGCAGAAGCAATGGGTTTTAGAGCTGCAAGTCTTTTTCTTTCATCAATTTTGCATATGGAAAGATCATGTTTGCTCTAAATAGTTTTGTTTTTAAAGCCTCTTAAATTTTTGAGATGAAAATAACAAAGAGAGAATGGGGGAAGGGGGGGGAAGACTGCTCCAGACAGACTGTCACAAGGCTGCAACAGCCAAAGACCAGAAGCAAACTCCATCAGCAGAGCAGTTAATTAAGAGGGGAAGGAAACAAGGTGCCTAACGCAGAGATAATTGCTCCTGTTCTGCTGCAGCACACACTGCCTACACACACACACACACACACACACACACACACACACACGTTGGTACCTGGCACATCCCACCCAGAGTGCCCCGAGGACATGGTGCTGCTCTGTGCTGATGATGGCATTGCCCAGATTTTGCCTTTTCATTCAGATGATGCTCTCAGATAAACCTGACTCAGCAGCATTGGACAAAGCCAAAAGGTTCAACATGTGCTCCTGAGATGCAACAGAACAGGATGGCAGTCCAACGTGAGTGCAAATCCTCATTCCTAAAAGCTGCACAGCAAAGTTTCTGCCACCATCCCAGCACCACTGCCCATGGCTCTGCACGGCCAGCACGGTCAGTGGGACCAGCTCCAGGGCTGCTGTCCTAAAACATGGCATGAAGAGGGAGGCCATGCTTCCCTCCAGATCAGTGATGCACAGAAGCAGAGCCGAGGTGCGTTGCTCCATGCTTGGAGGACTCGGCGTGTGAGCACCCTTTTGGAAGGTTTGGGTTCTCAGTGCTGTTTTTGGGGTGGAAGGAGGGAAGGAAGGGCCTGAGGGAAGATGGAGGTGTCAGTGGGGCAGCGTGCTCTAGTGGAATGTACCATGCATTGCATCACGTTGCATTGCATTGCCTCAAACCACGTCACGTAGCATAGCATCACTTTGCCTTGCAGCAAACTGCAGCACACGGCCCTGCGTTGCATTGCATTTCATTGCATTGCAGCACACTGCATCACATCACGTCACAGCACCTCGCATGCGTGCAGTAGTGCAGCCAGCAGCTCTCTGCCCAGTGCTGGGGCTGCTCCTTCCATCAGCAAAGCAAGCTGTGCGCTCCCTGTCCCTACAACCCCTATAGGCCCCAGCCCTGCAGTTGCTGGGCACCTCAGGGAGGGGTTTGGCAGCAGCAGCTGCAGCAGAGAATCCACTGAGTCCATGACATGAATTCCAAGTCTCCCTCTCACAGGGAGCTGCCTGAGCAGCTCAGCCATGCTCCTATCTCTCACTCTACCCCCCCCCTCCCCCTTTTTTTGGAGACTCATTACTATATTGTGGATATTCTCCACTAAAGGGCATCTCTTTGAATGCATTTGCTTTTTTATTAATGTGTGCTAAGACAAGTCAAGCCTGATTATCATGAAGACAATTGCTGAATTCCCTCCTGGAGAAATCTCATCTAGACTGTGTAGGCGTTTTAATTTCAGAGACCCATTAATTGGCACAATTGCTTAAGCAGCTGCTTTCCGTGTCATTTTAGGACCACTTTATGAAAAACAGAGCTTAAGGAAAAAAAAAAAAAAAAAAAAAGAGAGAGAGAGAGAGAAAGAAAGAAAAGATAAAAAGAAAGAAAGGAAAAGTATATGACAGGCCAGAGCTTTCTGCATGGTAGCATAATTAATGCAAGGAGCTTCCTATGGGTGGGAAAGCAACAAAAAGCTTCTCCAGCACTGCACCGTGGCTGCTGCTGTCCTGGGCTGTGTGTGCTCAGGTGCAGCACGGGGTGTCTGGTGCTGCCAAGGATCCATTGGGTTCTGGAAAGCAACGAAAAAAGCAAAAGGAAATGGAGAAGGCAGCCTGCAGGGATGGGCCACGTGTATTTCCTGCAGTGTGAAGCTGCATCGCAGCACACGTCTGGGTGCAGGAGCTCCTTCTGCCTGCATGGGTGAGGGATGGGCACAGTACTCTGATGCCCTCTCCTCAGCCCTGCGCCCTTCCCATGCATGAAGTTTACCACTGTAACCCCATGCTCATGACCTGCAGCATCCCCACGTCTCCAACCTACAACACCCCTACGTCCCCAGCCCTCAGCATCCCCGCATCCCCAACCTTCAGCATCCACGTGCCCCTGACCTTGCGTCCCCACATCCCAACCCACACATCCCTGTATCCCCAACCCAGCGCATCCTCATGACCCCAACCTGCAGTGTCCCCACCCTCTGAGCTGTGCCCTCCCACAGCCGCAGGATCACAAGAGCATCCCAGCAGCTCCAGCAGCACGCAGAGCTCCCGTGATGAGGTTAATTACGGAATGGCTGAGGAACAAATCCTTCCCTCCAGGAGAAGTGGCCGGAGAGAGCCGCACGCTCTTCTTTGCCATAGGCAAAAATATACATTCCCCCTTATTAATAAATAAAGCCATATCAATGCCCTAAATTATCAGCAGAATGTATTTGCTAACCTGAAGCGATAGTAGGAACAATTACTTATTAATAAAGCAATAGCTAAATCTAATTACATCCCCATCAGATCCTGCAAGTAATAAAACCACAGTTGCCTCGCGGAGCCGGGGGACCTCCTGACCCCAAATCAAAGTTTAAACCATCCATCAGCTCCCAATACATTCCCAGCACATCCCGCAATTACCATCACCTCCGCTCTGCTCCCTGGCAGGGGCAGGGGTCACCCCATGCACTGCATGGCTGTAAGCTAGAACAGAGCCTTAGAAATCTCATTATCCTGTTAACCATACATTTATCTGACAAGATAAAAGAGACTAGGTGACCAAGCTATCATTAAAGATTAATAGAAAGTATAAAAAATTCAGCTGCAACCAGCATTACTGTTTAGTGCCTGTGATAGGCCTGACAGGATTATTAATCAGGCAGCCGAAAAGATTTAGGTCTTTGCTCTCGGTTTTTCATTTTAAGCCTTTCGTTTCCCCCACGCCATAGAAACCGCAGGTCAGCGCCGGCTGCCGCTAATTGGTTCTGCGGGGTTTGAATGGGAGCGGCTCGGACCAATTATGGGATCACCGGGAGCTGCGGTGACAATGAGGGCTGGGGACGCCGAGCTGTTTACCAGGAGCCCCCCCGGCACAGGGCTATTAATAAATGGTACAGATCAATGCCCGCATTAATTTTAATAGAGGGCTACAAGGACCGCGCCAGTCCCAGGGTGATTTTCCCCTCATTCTTAATTCCATTTAAGTTTAACATGAAAGATTCCCAGGTAACACCTACACAGGAAGAAACGAGATTTCCCTGTTTTTAAGTCTTAAGTATTCTTTTTATTCTGCTTTGCTTTTTCCCTTTTGATCATAAATCAATGTCCTCTCACAAGTTTCCCTGCAAGCCACGTCTGCGAGCAGGCTGTGCTGCACTGCTCTCCATTTCTCCACCTGTGAGAAAGAAAAACCAATAAATTAGGGAAGGGCTTTCTGAAATCCTGCATGGGGAAGCGAACCCGCTTTGCCCACGGTGGGGGTTTGGGAGCCTCCGGCTGCACAGGGCTCCATGCCTGTCCCCATCCCCATCTCCATCCCCATCCCTCTCCCCATCCCCATCCCCATCCCCATCCCCATCCCCATCCTTCTCCCCTTTCCCATTCCTCTCCCCATCCCCATCCCCATCCCTTTCCTCATCCCCTCCTCATCCCCATCTCCATCCCACCACTTTTGCCTTTGCCACGTTCCCCCAAACCCTAATGCACTTTTAAATTAAAAAAAAAAAATTACTGAAAATGTATTCAGCCTTTGCTGGGACACCTCCAGGAACTGTTCAAATCCTTTTAACATCACCCTTCTGTTTTCTCACAAGGCAATATTGAAGCAGGAGCTTGGAATTGGAAAACCTTGGTGGTAGACGGAGGTTGGACTGGATGATCTTGGAGGTCTTTCCCAATGTTGGTAACTCTAGGATTCCAGGATGGCTGAATCAGCACGGGCACAACTCTTTTCCATGAAAATGAAACAAGCCAGAACAAATCAGCTTTCTGTAAGAACAACTTGCATAAAAAAAACAGCCATAAAATATCCCTTGCTGTAAAGGCCCTCAGACACCCAGCAGGGCCCTGCGTGCATGAAGCTCAACCCAGAGCCAGGCTGGCAGAGCTCGACGTAACAACCCTTCTACATGGCATCACGTGCCGTTCCTCCCAGGCAGCCCTATCTGCTGCAAGATCACATTTAGAAGCAGATTATCACACTTCCAATCGATGCAGCACATTGTTTAAGATCCCACAGTCGGGCAATTAATTGTCGAACATAATTGGAATTATGCAGAGAACAAACCGGCGCATCAGCAAAGCCCTGCATCCCCACGTCCTCCTGCCAGTGAGGAAAAGCTGGGTCGTGCATTGCACCTCCCAGCCCTCAGGTCTGCCTGGTGCTGCTGGGCTCTGTGCTCAGGCTGTGCAGAGAGGTGCAGCACCACGTCCTGCCGCGCTGCCGCCGTGCGAGCAGACGTGCGTCTCAGCTCTCGTGGTTTAAAATAAATTTAATAGATGCTTCCACACTTTGCTGCTGCTATTCTGGGCATGGCGGCTGGAGTCGATACACAGGCTGCTAATTGACAGATCGGCTCGTGAGCCAAAAGCAGAGTGGTGTCTGCGAGAAGACGTGGGTTTCAATTGCTGATCTGCCACAGCACCAAGCCACGGCCCCATACTGTGTCACCTTCTAGATGCTGTGTCACTGTGCCATGCAGCCATGTCAAGGGATCATGCCATGTTGCCTTCTGTGTCACCATGCCATGGCACCATTCCAGGTCACCATGCCACGTCACCGTGGCTCCTTGCACTGCAGCAGCATTCCCTATGGATGCCCTCACACTGTGCTAGGCCACTGGCTGTCTGAGCTGTGCCATCACTCACCAGAGATATCTTCTGATGCTTTCTGATGGGACAGTGCTTGCAGACTTCCCCATGGTTCCCATCAAAAAGAAAAAGGCATTCAGACAAACGGGGAGAGTGGCTTTTATTTGCATAAGTTTTTGCAGTCAAAAGCAAAAGACGGTGGCATCGGAAAGGGTTTCCTAAGAGCTGGTAGGCTAAAAGGGCTCTGAAGAGCCTGGTTTGCATCCAGCCAGGAACTGCAGTCGTTACTGCTGCAACCAAAATAAATCAATTCCAGTTCTGCAGGATGAACGCGGGAGGCACGGGCTGCTCCGCTCCCATCTGCAGCGAGGTACAGCTGGGCTTCACGTCAGCTTTGAAGCTCGCAAGGCTGAGATAAAAGAGAAATGCTAAAACCTCATGCAAGCAAGGAGAGCTGGATGGTGGGAAAGCCAGGCTGCAGTGCATGTCTGAGAGCTGTCTGTCTGCCTGTCCACCTGGTGACTTCCATCTCATCACAAGCAAGTGCAAGGTGGAAGCACAACCTGCAGCACAGGGCACTTCAGCTGCACAGAACCCAGCAAAGCAACAAACACTCCTCCCGGAGCCGAGGCCATGCTGACTCCACCCTGTTTGCACGAGCTTCAGAGCAGTTTGGGGCAAAAAGCTGTGAGCCTTTGAAAGAGCATTGCAGCTCTGTAACAGAGCGTGAAGCCAGGCGGGATTCACACGAGCCTGACGGGTTCAGCAGGGGAATGTTGGGAGAAAAGCAAATCCAGATTGATAGAAAGCTCCATTCATCTCAGAGGGATCCAAGCCACAAAGAAATGGATCTAAATGTCAAACATTCCCCGGGTTTTGTGGTATTCCAAACCAGAGGGCTGGGCGGACCCATTGCACAGATGAAAACCAGGTGCAGAGAGCTGTTGTGAGGTGGGCTTGGATGACGGGCACAAAGCCTGTGGGTCTCCAGATTGAGGATTTCATTTTAGGGACATTCAGTTCCAAGTAAATCCGTGTGATTCTTGCCAAAAATATTCCACAGCATCCTATGGAGCCAGGTTGGCCTCTCAGCGCTGTCTGGATGGCAGTGAGATGCTGTGGCTGCCATTGACACATGGACATTCACTGTGCCACTCTCCAAGGCTGTGTTGTGCAGATGCCCTGGGCTGCCAACTGCCCTCAACCCCAGCAGCAAATGCAGCTGCTGCCAAAGGTGCCACCAAACCCCCATTGCTTCTGGGGGAGCTCTTAGATCCCATTTGGCACTGTGGTGCTTTTGCCTACGGTGGTGCTTCGTGAGCCAATGCAGCACAGCAAGTTGAATGCATGTGCATGAAGTCTGCTACCCTCTGCACCCACAGTTTTCTGCAGAGAAAGCAGAGGACCAGGAGGGGCACGTAGAATCACAGAATAATAGAATGGCTCAGGTTGGAAGGGACCTCAAGGATCTTCAAGCTCCAACCCCCCTGCTGCATGCAGGGCCACCGACCTCCATACCTAATACTAGACCAGGATGCTCAGGGGCTCAACCAACCTGGCCTTGAACACCTCCAGGGATGGGGCATCCACAGCCTTTCTGGGCAGCCTGTTCCATAACCTCCTGCCACCCCCCATCTTTCATCAACACTGAGACCTAAAAAAGCCATTTTTCAGCTAACACTATAAAGCAAAGCTGCTGCTTTCCATGGAGTCTCAGCACACTTGACAGAAACTCTTTGTGGGGGGGTAACTGGAAATAATAGGAAGGCAAATCAAAGCCTTTTTTGGGGACATGTCCGAGGCAAAGAGGAGATAAGGTAGAATGAATTATTTCCTGACATCAGCTGATGGGAGGCCTGCAGGATGCAGAAGCCCCAATCCTTCCCCTGTTCCATAGGCTGGGCTGGGAGAGGAGGATGGGGAAGAAGAGCCTAAGGATGGTGCCTGCTGATCATCACCACGAGTAAAATGAGCTGCTTCCCTGAACCTGAAAAATATCAAACTGCATAAATAAATCTATTTAAATTATTAATAAACGAATTTACATTCGGAGCCTGAGAAGGAGAATTAATTTCATTTCTTATGCTAAACTGGCCAGCATGGATGATGACTCAAGAATTAAAAGATGCAGAAATGAAGGGAAAATGAAGGTAGGCCGGCTCCATCAGAAAAGAGATGTGAAGTGGGGATCCTGGGTCCAAACAAAGCCATCAGCCAAAAGCAAGAGGACCAAAACTAATCTGCAAGCTCTGGGGGAGCCCGAGCCCCCCTCTGCTGCCCATGCATGCCGTGTCTCTGCCAGCACTTTGGGGGACAACAGCCCTCAGTGCAGAACCCCATCAGCTGGCTGCTCCCAGGGCAATTAATTAGGAGGTGCTCCCAGCCCCTGGCATTCCTCCTCCATCCCTTCCATTGGGAAGCAGCATTCGTGACGGATGGCGTATGAAAACCCACTGCTAAAACAATCCTCTCCTCATCTGCCCTCTCGCTGGAGCCTGTCTGCAGTGCTCTCCAGGATGTATTGTTATTTCGTGTGATGAGACATTCCAGAGAACGAAATAAAATAAAAATAGACATTTGGAGGGCCTTTGTATTGCTTCTTCACAGCTCCCCACACTGTGACTCCTGTGAAGGCACTTGTCGGGCTGATCCGCTGGCGCTGCCGCCTCGGCTGTCCTTGTGCTGGAGACACTGCTCTTTTAAATTCGGTTTCTCAGAATTAGAAGAAAAACTTGGCAAAGCAACAATAGGGAAAAAGAAATATGAATAATCTCAGAACAGAAATTGCATTATGTGATGTGGTTGCCATGTGGTTAAGTCTGAGAGAGGATCATGCGAGCGCATTGTGGGAAAATTGATAACAGGCTGAAGAATACCGAGCGTTCAGATCGCAGGGCTGCAGGGCCAACCCCGAGCCAGTGCAAGGGGCTCAGTGCTGGGCAATGGGATGGGTATGGGGGCATCTGCATTGGGGTCTGCAGCCCCCGGGGTGCTCGGCTCCAGGATGGATGAGCTCCCTCAATAAGCCCCGAAATCTCTCAGGGTGTCACACAGCCCGTCTCAGCTGCCACCGAAACTGCAGCCAGCACTGAGATCCGAGCCACCCACCCCTGCCTGAGCTGTCACCCCACGTGCACTCTGCTCCACTGGGGACGGTGCCCACAGCCATCAGCAATGTGGGTCTGTGGCCACGTTGACCCCAAAGCATCGCTCTCACAGCGCCGACTGGGAGGAAACACAGATTTCAGATACGTTGGGATTCAGATGGTTTGGGGGAAGTAATCATGAGTGAAGAAAGCGAATTTTGCTCCCCAAACTGTGCGAGCTGTGATCCATCCCCGCCCGCTGGCTGTCGTGCTACGGTGGTTTGAGTGGGAGGAAAGTCAGCACTGTCAGCTGAGCGGCAGGAAGCTCAGAAAGCGTGGGGAAGTGCATGCACACACACTGCAAAAGGGGTAAATTCTGTGAAATCAGATCAGCAATGCAAATTCTGCTCTTTTCTTGCACCGTGGCTCACTGACAGCGTGCACAGTGCCATCAGCCCAGTGCAGCACAGCAGAGGGGATGTCCATGGTGTGCCCCATCGGTCCCAGCAGGTCCTGCCTCCACCCAGCCCTATGCAAACCATGCAAAGCACGGGGAGGTTAGAGGAGAGCAGGTGCCTCTGTGGCCTTCTCAGTGCTGTAGCTTTTGGGGATCCTTAGGACAGAAGGATGCTGGGGCTACACATTCATTCCTGCTGGGATGGGGATGGGGGCACCTGCACTGGGGTCTGCAGCCCTCGGGGTGCTCAGCTCCGGGATGGATGAGCTCCCTCAAAAAGCCCCAGAATCTCTCAGGGTGTCACACAGCCTTCCCTGGGGGTAGGATTCTGTCTGTGCATTGCTGCTGCTGAGCACCTGTGTACTCTGTGCCAGGAGTGCTAAACAACAACTGGAGAGATGGGGCAGCAGCTGGCTTGGGGTCTGCAGGTACAAAATGGGACCCTGGACAGTATCCAACATCAGAGCCTCGGGACAGCCAGGGCTGAGTGCACACAATTAGGGAGCAAGAAGGGCAGCGGGACTCCAAATCCTAATTTGGCCTGATGAAAGCTTAATGATTCCAGCTTGACGATTGCCGGAATGCCCCAATTTCCTCATTCCAAAAAGCCCCCACTGCCAAGGCTCGGGTGGAGCGGACACGCATGGTGATGCAGCTCCGAGGGGTGGCAGGAACAGAGCGAGGATTTCAATGGCTGAGGCACAGAGAAGGATTCCTGCGAGCAGATGAGCCGGTAATCTAACAAAAGTGCGGAATTAAGGGTTTTTTAATGAGGGTTTCAGAATGAGTAGCAGCCTGGTAGCACGGCCAGTGGAGGAGAGCAGCTATTTGAAGGGAAGCAAAGCAAAGGCTGGGGCCCTTCAGCACCAGCTCCCTGCCCCCGAGGTGCCCCTGCCCCGGGGCTGCACCCCCACATTGCTCCTGTGCAGGGTTTGTGGATGGGAATCACACAGCAGTGCAGCTGGGGAGCAGCAGGAGAACACTGCTCCTCTCCCAGAGCCCGTCGCGATGGCTGCAGAGCTCCATCCCTGGAGGAGACAGATGGGAATCCAGCTCCTATCTGCATGCAGCTCTGGGCCCCGTGAAGCTGTCTGTGCACGGGGGGAGCGGGGCGGCCGCAGTGCGCACAAGGTGCTCTCGTCATGAAAGCATCTTTTGATTTTGTTATTGCAGCTATCAAAATATTGCAGAGTTCAGAGCATTCCGCAGGGATCCCCGCGCTCTTCAAAGACCGGAGGACCACGACTGGGGAAAAAGAAGCCTTTAATTACGTCGGTTTCCACGCTTGTTTCTGCAGAGGAGTTCCTTTAAAAAAAAAAAATAGTTTTAATGAGAGGAAACACATATGGCCCCGTTGTTCAAACAAGGAGAGATACAGCTGATTTTTTTTTAATAGGCGGCAGTTCCTTTGGGTCTCCTGGAGCTCACACCAAGGGGCTCTGCACTGAGCACCCCCAGCAGCAGGGCTATCCGTGGGGCAGAGCAGCTCCATCCCAGCCCCATGCCATCCATCACCCCCTCTGTTCCCACTGCAACTCTCTCCTCCTCCCCTGCTCCTTCCAACCACGCGGAGCCGCATGCAGTGGGATCTCAGCATGGCCATCCTCCGTGAACGCTCTCGTTTCTCTCAGATGTTCATTTGAATTCAAATGGAAAAGCTCCCTTTTCCCACAGTGTAAATATCAGTGCCGTGTATGACGCAGCAGAAAGCACGGGACAGCCCCACATTTCAAAGAGCATCTTGAGCATATACTGCTAATAAATAATCCTATCTGGCAAATTTAATTAACGGGCTGCAGTGCGTGGTGCAGCCCGCTGGATAGAGTATCTCCATCTGATCTGCAATGCTTTTAGAAGCTTTAAGTATTAATAAAGAGTGTTTTGTTCGAGAACTCACAGGGGACAATTACAAATAATTGCCAAGAAGGGTGTGTGCCTCATTTAAGTGACTGCACATTAAAAATGATGAAGGATTAAAAAAGAATTCATAGCATTGGAGTGCAGCAGCGGTGGCTGCCCCTGTTCCCGTTGCCATCCCTGCAAGGGATGCTTGGTGCAATTCGGGCTTCCCAGCCCCGGGGCAGAAGGAGCTGAATGGAGGAGTGGAATGGCCAACGGAAGACAAAACCCACCAAGGAATCCAAACCCAGAAAACCACATGAAAATTATCACACCGCAAAGTTTTTCTGGGATTGTTTCCCCATTTTTCCTGCCTTGGAGCTATAGAGTGGGGTTTCCCCCTCCGCTTCTCCTACTAATTGGGATCTCTGTGCAGGGCATGAGATTCACAGCAGCCAAAAAGCGCTCATTCCCTTCCATGATATCAAGGCAAGGAAGAGGGAAACCTCCTTTGAAACGACTTCTCATGGCAGCAGGGCATACAAGGAGCAGCACTGCAGGCGCTATATGTGCAGCACTGGCATTGGCAGCACTGCCATTTCTTTACAGCTCTCACTTTCCGTGACAATGGAAAAGAAAGAAACTTCCAGCACGCCTTTCTCACCCTGCAGGCAGCAAGACACAGGCATCACAGTGCCCAAAGAAAAGCTCTGTTGGGACCCAGCAGCACAGATCAGAGAGGCACCCAGCGATGCCAAAAAGCGGCACTCTTAGAACCACCATAAAGACATAATTTTGCTGCTTTTTCACATGCAAATAGCAAGTCAGGAGAGCAGCAGCTCTGGCAGAGAGTAAAGCAGGGCTCAGGAGGGACTGTGCCAATGTCTGGGTGATGAGGTTTGGATGGGAAACCCAGAGCTATGCCTGTAAGCCGCCGTGCTTGGGGCCAGGGTCTGAGCTCACCAGGTCTCCTTGGGGATGGCACTGTGGGGTCTCTGCCCATGCCACCTGCGGCAGCTGGGATGGGGGCTGAGAGCATCCCCCCCATGTGCTCCTGCTCCGCTACCATCAGCCAGTACCGAGGACAGTAGAAGGATTGGGCTGTCCACCCTCCAAGCCAGAGCGCATGGCTCAGTGAACACCAGCTTTGGGAGCTGTTTCCAGCTGTTTGGGAGCAATGCCTCCTCTAGAGCCAGGAGTAGCTCGGGGCTGAGCCCCATGATGTACATGGGGCTAACAAAACCCAGAGTGCGAGGCCAGCACAGACCCAGCCCCGTAACCACACAAGAGCTCTGCCAGGGATGGGTACAGTGCCGGGGTTGGGGTATCAGTGCCAGAATGGGTACAAATGCTGGAGGCACGGCCCCGAGCAGCCCTGCGCTCCCATGGCAGCCAGCTCACCGCAGCCTCTCAATCTGGGAAGGGTCCACCCCAGCCCTCTGGAGCTCAGCTCAGCAGACACACAGATCCCCCACCCGCTGCCATCTCCCCGTGGGACTGGCAGCAATAAATCCTGCCCGCCGCAGGCAGTGCCATGCCCCCTCATTTTCCATGAGATCCGCACGCAAGGCTTCGGCTCCAAACATCTCCTTTTGATTTCATGGGGAAGGAATGCTGTGAACTTCAGTTTAGAGAACCAATTTATTTCATGCAATTTCTCCTCCTCGTAGAAGCAGCTCTGTATTCCAAGCCGTGATTTTCCAAAATAAAAGCAGCAGTTAACCATTGGAGCGGAGCGATCCGCCTCCGCCTCGCTTCCCCTATTGCTGTGTTTCAGAACTTTGCTCAAAAATGGAAAGGGGCACCTTTAAAACTTTAATACCACGTAAATGTTCCAGTCTCGCTGCTGCACCAGATCGTTCAGCAAAGTAGCTAATTAAAAAATGGCTGCTGTGATGACAGACTAGATTAATAGTTTTTGAAGAGCAGCCAGTGCACCAACTGCTCCCGTAGCCATGCTGAAAGCTAATAATGTAGAAAATTCTGCCAATTCTTTTAATTCATGAATATTTAAGCCTGTGAAAAATCTGTCAGATTATAGCACTTTTCTGGTGATTTTCTGCTTAAGTACATTTATGGGCAAATGCCAGTTGCTCAAGAAACTTCAGTGGAACGCAAAGACTTTTTATTGTCTGTGTCGCCAGAGCTCTTTTCCTCCTCCCATCGCCTTCCAGCCGGTGCCAGGATCAGCTGTGGGCACAGCACTCCCACCGGCATCCACTGGGATCTCAGGCAGGGATGACCCGTCTGCATGGTAACAGGGATGGGGAGGAGCAACAGGTGATTCCTATTAGAGAATTATAAAATATATATCTATATATATATTTCATATATATGTTAACTTTTGTAGGAGCACAAATCCTGAGTTTTCCAGCTAGGATCACTCCCAAAGCTCCTCAAGGGACGTGTCCAGGTCAGACAGACTGCAGTATCCCCAGCCCTACAGCAGCAGGCAGCTCCCCAGCTCACTGCTCATCCACAGCACCGCCTGGTGACTCACCTTACAGCTACTGAAGAAACAATTACCCAGCTGGGAGCATAACCTGCTCAGCCTTCCCTCACAGTGCCAAAGGCCAGAACTCCCCGTGAGCGGCTCCTGCACAGCTATTCTCACCACAGCAGGGATGCTCTTTTCCATGAAACCGGGAGCAGCACGGTGGGTTTTGCTCAAGCTCCCAGCAGAATGGATGGGATTGTTGGTAAGGGGCTGCAGAGCTGCATCCCCCGCAGCGCCCACAGACTGGGGATGTTCTGCACCCTGCGTCCCAGCATCTCTGAGTCACCACTGAACTGCTGCTCAGCTGCACCCATGTGCAGGAGGACCTCATTCCAAAATGCTTTGGAATGCACCAAGTGTTTTTGTGACTTTGAAACAAAAAAAGAGGAAACTCCAGCAGAACTCAGAACATCCACAGAGCTGAAAAGAGCGTCTCATCCCAACGCAGCTGTTTGGTGGGGAAGAGAAAACCTGCCCTGGAGCCGCATGCTGGGAAGGTTCATGTTTTTAAACTTGAGCCCCAAGTGTCCTTCGTGCTGTCAGGTCACATCAGCCCCTTAAACGTTACACAACACTGCTGAGTAATTAAATGCTTACAGGATTTGCAGACTGCTTGTCTCACAGTTGGGAATGGCTCCTCCAAAGCTCTCAGGTTTGGCACATCAGCTCCTCGCACCAGGGATGCCCACCCCTGGGCTGTACCAGCACAGCACAGAGTGGGATGCAGCAGGAGGCAGCAGCCAGCCCCGAGCAGAGGGTGGGGGCAGAGGGGTTGGGGCCCAGCAGGTTTGGGGCTGCCCCATTGCAAGCGGAGCAGCGGCGAAACTTCCCCTTCCTCTTCTCACCACCTTCAGCCACTCACAATGTCACTCCAGCTGAGCAAGAAGCAATTATGATTTAATTACCCCACTGCTCTTCAGCAGAATTTTTGGAATAGCGGTTTCTGCGGTGCCTCATTTACCCTTTTCCTCTTCACCTGCATTTGTTCTGCATGGTGCTGTTGCTGCCCAGCCACGACCGCACGGTCACCTCGTCTCCCTCCCCTCGCAGCACCCACACGGCACAGGCAGGGCACGACGAGAGCTGCTAATTCATAAATATTTAACACCCAGCTCTGCTGCCTCCTGATAGCTTTTTTCCAGAGTTTCTATTCTCATCCGTATTCCACCCCCTTCCCCTCCCTTACGGCCCTCCTCGTTTTTTTCCCTTCCTTCTCGCCGGGCATTAATCCAAGTGCTGAGATGACTGTTTCACTTCCCCGCTGTCATCAGTTGTTTTTATCTTATCTGGGCCGTGGATGCCAGTCAGCAACCCGTTGCGGTCTTTCCAGTTGAGTCCTGACCTCCGCAATCAGCCTCAAGATGTCCTGTAACGAGCAGATACGGTTACTCAACTTGTCCATCAGCACTTCTGGAGGGGGGAAAAAAGGAAGCACAAACCAGCAAATGGTGGCACGAGGCAGGGCTGTGGGCTGCGGGTGGGCTGGGCTGCTCCCTGCAGGCAGGTGCGCCAGCTCCAGGCCCTCGCATCAGCACTGCATGGCGCAGAGAAGCCTCTGCAAACCAGGTGAGCTTTAGGGCTGCTTGTCCTCCCACCTTCAGGAGCAGCAGGAGGATGTGCTATGGGGCTGCGGTCTCTCCTCCCCAGGGGTCACGCTCACCCCACTGCCCCCAGGCAGAGATGAACACCTGGGGGCTGTGCGCTCCGTGCCCGCAGTGCCGTCCTGCATACACAGGTGCCCACGTGTGCTTGGCTCTGGTGCTGAGCGGAGGGAGGAAAACTCACCCCAGCAAACAGGATTGCCACCTCCTGCATCCCTGAGCACAGCCGTCCATCTGTCCGTCTAATGATACCACGGAGGGCAAAGAGAGGCCAGTGCAGAACCAGATCCACTTTATAGACTTATCACCCGGTGTAAAAATGTCCTGTTGGATTTATCCGACATGTGTTCTATCAACGTGCTCCGCTCTGAAGTAAAAGGGCTTTTAGTTACAGCAGATTGGAGGGGGTGTGGGGAAGGAGAAGGGATGGATTTGGGCTCTGCCAGCAGCTCTGGTTGCTTTTGCATCAACGTCTCTATTTTCTAAGGGAGGATTTAAGACCTCGTTGTGTACGAGCAACCGAGACAGGAGAAACTCGAACGGGGAGAACCGTAAAAGGTTGTACTGAAAAATGCTATTAGTCTGCATGAAATAAGATTCTTCCTGGAAACATGACACTGAACATTGAAGGGAGGGGGAGGAAGAGCTGTAAAATGGCTGCAGAAAAAAAGGGTTACAAATTAAATATGATAAAAAGAATCCTTTTGAATGAGATCTTAATTTAACCTCAACATCATGACCGTATATTTCAGGAAATTAATCCCTCGGCCTGCAATAAATCCCAAGGACGGTACGACCACTTATGGCTCAGCAATGAGCCATTACTATGGGTTGCAGATGCTGCAAAGCCATCGTGCCATTACTGAGGGGTGCGCAGAATAACCCAGCTCCGTGCAGCGCCCACACAGCTCCAACTGCTGCAGCACTGACCTGTGAGCCAACCTGCACCCAGACTCACATCTGTGCCCTGAAGGAGTGCTGGGAGCTGCCCACGGGGCCGTGCACCCCAGCACTGCACCAGATCTGCATCTGCTCTCAGTGCAGATCAACCATGGACAGAAGTGCAAACACCAGCACCTCACGGAGCCCTCCCTGCTCCCCCACGCGCTGCCAGCTTGGCACCCTGCACTTCCACATATGCCCCAAAAGGAGGAGAGGAACTTCTAATGAGTCAAGGCTGTAACCTTGCTCTGAGAGCAAACATATGCCACCGCCGCTCCCTTGGCAGCAGCACTTGGAGCCAGTTGCTGTCAATTCCATTCGGGCTGCAGCCACTTTGGGGCTCTCGATAAGGAGCAGACAGAGCAGGTGAGGAGCGCTGAAGCTTTGCAAGTGTTGGTGAGCTGCTGGCAGAGCTGCTGCAGACCTGCTTCGCGTTGGAGGTGGTGAAATGCGTGAGCAGCTCGATTCCTCTTGGGGAATATCCCTGTGCACTGCTAGGGATATTGCTGAGTGCTCTGTGGGGTAAAAGGCAGTGCACTCCGCTGACCTCACGCACAGCCTTTCTCCCCGGCAGCACGAGGTAGCAGAAGTGAGGAAGCGTCTATTGGGATAGGCAGCCCTGAGCAGAGCTGGCCCAGAGCAGTTCAAGCTGGGAAATGCCTTTTTGACACGAGTCAAGTTCCCCACTGAAAATTTTTGTCAAAACTTTCAAGGTAATAGCAAGAAAGAAAAGCCAACCCCAACAAACCCGAGAGCACCCTGGGAAGCACTGTCACAGTGGGGAAAAAATAAATAAATCTGTGTGATTTCTGCTGGGGAATGGTGAACAGGGGGGGCAACATCCCCAGCTCTGCGCCCCACGCCAACCAGCAGAAGGGAGCCCCAGCAGCAGCCAACCCCAGCAGCACGTTCCCTATGGCTGCGGTGGGACCGCGGCGCCGCCGGAGGTTCCCACCTGCAACCATTGCGTGCAGCAGGAGGAGGAGCGGGCTGGGAACAAGGGGTGCTCTGCTTTCTCATCAGCCACCGAAGTTCTCGTTTGCTGTGCAGCCCCGTTCCCAGGCTGCCCGTGCAGTTGATGCTGCAGCGGATGCTGTGGTTTGCTCGTCTGAAATAAATTGCGCAACAAACTCAGCCCAGCGCTGAGCAGCATCAGCTGCAGCAAAGCAGCTCTAATAGTGCTGGTCCTGTGCGTCCCGCTGGGGGACTTTCAATTGACAGAGTTACAAGAGATGAAATATTCAGTAGGATTAAGAATTTGGAGGAGGTGGAAATCAAAGCGAAAAAGAAAACAAGTAAAAACAGCTTAATCTAGCCTTCTAGCACTAATTGTCATTGGGATTCAGGCTAAAACAAACACAACAAAATGAGCTGCCAATTTGAAAGGGGAAGGAAGAGGGTGAACACGATTCCCACCGCATCGAAAGCAACCTTTTATCTCTCCTCCACCGCAGACAGAGGCACGTGGGGCACGGGGCCATGCCTGGGACAGCCCCAACCACACAAGCAGGATCTGAACCTCTCAGTGCTGGGCAGGGCTTTATCCAAGAGGCCATCACCCATGGCACGAGGGCTCCAATGCAACATCGCCCCAACATGGCATCGCTCCCATGCAACACTGCCCCAACATGATATTTCTCCAATGCAACACTGCCTACCGCAACACTGCCCCAACGTGGCATGGCCCCAATGCAACACTGCCCCAACGTGGCATGGCCCCAATGCAACACTGCCTACCGCAACACTGCCCCAACGTGGCATGGCCCCAATGCAACACTGCCCCACCACAACATGGCCCCAATGCAACACTGCCCCAACGTGGCATGGCCCCAATGCAACACTGCCCCACCACAACATGGCCCCAGTGCAACACTGCCCCAACGTGGCATGGCCCCAATGCAACACTGCCCCACCACAACATGGCCCCAGTGCAACACTGCCCCAACGTGGCATGGCCCCAATGCAACACTGCCCCACCACGACATGGCCCCAATGCAACACTGCCCCACCACAACATGGCCCCAATGCAACACTGCCCCACCACAACATGGCCCCAATGCAACACTGCCCCAACGTGGCATGGCCCCAATGCAACACTGCCCCACCACAACATGGCCCCAGTGCAACACTGCCCCAACGTGGCATGGCCCCAATGCAACACTGCCCCACCACAACATGGCCCCAGTGCAACACTGCCCCAACGTGGCATGGCCCCAATGCAACACTGCCCCACCACGACATGGCCCCAATGCAACACTGCCCCACCACGACATGGCCCCAATGCAACACTGCCCCACCACAACATGGCCCCAGTGCAACACTGCCCCACCACAACATGGCCCCAATGCAACACTGCCCCACCACGACACGGCCCCCACCTGTGGGTGCCCGCAGTCCCATGCAGGAGAAGCAGTGCAGCTCTGTGCCCACATGCTGTGGGCAAAGGCACCAGCAAGGCAGATTAGCTTACAGCCGAAGCGGAGTTATCCAACACTGCAATTTAAGTTGACAATTACATGGTAACCGACTTGCACACAAAGAGAGGCTCTGGAAGTATTCCCAGAACGCAGAAGTCTGACAGTATCCACCCAATTTGTTGCAACAACAAAGAATACTGGAATATGTCCTTTCATTTGGCAGAGTACTGTTTTATTTTTTTAGGCTAGGTGGAGAAATTTAGCCTGCTATTTAAGGAGCTTGTTGTGCCTTGAGAGTGACAAGCCAAGAGTTTCACTAGAAAGCCAAACTCAAACACAAATTGTATCCTGCCACCCGTGAGACTCAATTGCACTGAGGGAAGGAATTTGCAGAGCCTCATCTGCTGCTGGGGTCTGCCTTTCCAACCCTACAGAGACATAACTGGGGCCTTTCATTGCTCCCTTATACAATCCCCCCTCTTTGCACAAAGGAAGAGAACGCATTTCAGCAGGCATTTGGATGGGCTACTTTTTTTTTGAGCGTTCTCCCCATGCCAAAGCCATCTCATTTGCGGGTGTTTGTGCCCACAGAAATTAAAAAGGAGATTTTGTGTGTTAGATTATGATATTTGCAGGCTACAGAGACAAAGCCTTTAGGGAAACACATGGCCTCAGTGGGGAAAAGCCAAAGGAACCCTGAAAGCAGGAGATGGAAATGCATCCCAATGGAACAGGAGGCAAGCAATGGGCTTGCCTGCACCACTGAGCCATTCGGCCCCTTCCCAGCGCCCATGTCAAAAGGTCAGCAGCACAGCCATCTCTAGGGACTTTTTTTTTCTTGTGGCCTCACTTCTGGTGGAAATTAGTCAGCTTTCCAGAGCAGAAACCTCAAGCCATAGCCACACTTCTGAGCCAGCTCATCACTGTCACCCCTCCACAAACCACTTCCTTCCCGATTACCGTCAGTCTCCCCGGCGTGATGAAGGGGATGGAGCCCTGCACGAGGCCATGGGGAGGGGCTCAGGGAGCTCCTGTGGCACGTGGGCAAGGAGCAAGCAGGGAAAAAGCAGCAGTGAAGATGTAAGGTGGTGATGGGGCACAGCAGGGGTGGGCAAGGAGGGGCAGCCAGGCACATGATGGGGCACCGGGAATTTGCTTGCACCTGGGTCAGGCACAGACCTCACTCCTGTTTCATCAGCAACCAGACCAAAGCTCGCACCTGCCCGCACATGGCATCGACCCCCACACGAGGAACAGTCTTTCTGAGGGGGACAACTTGGGCTTCTGTGGCCTGACAGAGCCAGCTGGGCAACAGACAGAGAGGCCCGCACCCTGAGTATATGGCAATGGTGGCTGAGGGCAGCCCTGTCCTGCCCCCACCACCCTCACGTGCAGCCGGCTTGGCTCCCAGTCCCGGATTTTCCCCCCCAGCTCTGCTCCTGCACAAACAGCTGCAGTTGCACAGACCCCCCTGGGGCAGCTGTGGGGCAGCACCGCTCTGTGGGGTTCCATTGCGATTTGCAAACTGCCACCGCTGCCTCAATGCCTTCCCCTGCCACCCCCGTGCTCCAGCTCTGCAAAACCTGCCTGCCTGCCACAGGCCAAGAAAACACAGCACAGCCTTCGTTGGAAGAGAGGAGTGAAAACGAGTTGCTTTCACCCCCAAACAGCCATCTTTCATCCTCAGACCCACGAGGGCACAGGCAGAGCCTGCAGCCATCACACTGACTGCAGCTCCCACACGCCGGACGCACAGGGCTGCAGGGAAGCGTTTGTTCATTTCATGGGCAGGATTTATTCATTACAGCACCAGGCAGCAGCGAGGCCCCAAGCACGATCCCCGGGGTGCAGGGCCGTGTTTGTACCGAGACGAGTTCCCAAATGACTCACCAGAAACCAGCCCTGCTCCGGTGAGGCCTCAAGCAGCTGCAGGTCCCCCTCCCACGCTGCGGTCCCCATGTCCTG